CCCTCCCCCTGCCCCTCCCCAGCACCGCGGCCGCACCGCCGCTGCTCCTCCTCTTTGCCTCCTTGACCCTCCTCCTCCTCTCCCCGGCCCTGCCCGCTGCCCGCGCGCGAGCCGCGCCCGCCAGTCGCTCGCCCAGTCCGACGCGGCCGCCACATGGGTTGCCTACCCATCTCCGCACGGGGACCGCGCCAAAGATTCATCATCACACAAGGGGGTCTCAAAGCTAAAAAAAGGGGGGGGGGAGTTACAATATTCAACTGTAAAAAAATGGCGAACCCATTCTCTTCGTTTCAGGTTTTTTTCTTGTTTTCTTATGACCTTTTGTCTTTGCTTTTCCGCATACAACATGAGCACATTATTCCGGGACGCCTACTTTTCACAGTGTCGTTTTATGAAACAGCCCTACAATCCATATTTATTACCTCTTTTTCTTTTACTTCATGTAAAAAAGAAATAATTTTTCTCTTTTTCCCCCTCTGTGCAGACGGCACGACTGACGTGGCGCGCACGCTGCACTTCGGCACGCCCGCGCGCGCCCACGTCGAGGCGTACACGCGCGTGCTGCAGGGGCTCGTGGAGATGTCGCGCGCCTCGGTGCCGGCCTCCATGGGCGCGCACTCGCTCGACTCGCTGGCGCGCGCCGCCGTCTGGCAGGGCGGCGAGAACTACGGCCACCCCACCGGCCACGGCATCGGCGCCTTCCTCAACGTGCACGAGGGTGAGTTGAAGAGGGAAGAGCTGAACTCATTTTATCTTCGCAATTTTCCCGACAGTGGAAACTACTCAAACTAATTGCGTACAGCTTTCTGTTCGTCCCTCTTTTTCTTTGAATCAATTTGAATTTGAATTATCGTGAAGCCCGCTCTCCTCCTGACAGAACCCAACATCTTCTACGGGGAGAACACTCAGCGACTGCAGGTCGGCAACTTCCTCACGGCTGGTAAGCTCTCTCCCCCCCCCCCCTCTCTCCCGGTATGTCATGTCCAATCATAATATTTGTTATAACGAACTATTTCTCGCAGAACCGGGCTACTACAAAAAGAACGACTTCGGCGTGCGCTTGGAGAACGTGCTGGAAGTGGTGGAAAAGAAGTCCCCCGTGAGTATATAGCGCTCTATGGCGAGGTTCGATCTGTCCTCTTCCTCCTGCCTGACGGCCTGTCTCTTGCGTCTCCCTGCTCCAGGACGCCCCCGACGCCCCGCTGTTCTACGAGTTCCGGACGGCCACCCTGGTGCCGTTCAACGTGAAGCTCATCGACGTGTCGATGCTGAGCCCGCAGCAGCGTAACTGGCTCAACGAGTACAACGCCCGCGTCCGCGAGGAGGTCGGCGCCGTCCTCAAGGCCAAGCTGCACATGGCCGCCTTCTACTGGATGCTGAACCAGACCCTGTACGTGCCCGAGCACTGCTGCCCCCGGTTGGCCGCCGGCGCCGCCCCGGGGGTCCCCGTCGTCGGAGAGCTGATGTTGCCCCTGGTGCTCGTGTCCTCGCTCGCCGCACTAATCCGGTGGTGAGCCAGTGGTTGGCCGATGGTTGGCCGATGGTTGGCCTACCTACTTGGCGAGACCAAGCAGTATGCCTCACCGCAATGCACTGCGCTAAGAGGAAAGTAAACTACATTCCCGATCAAAATCGTATTCGGACTCGATTCGCGGTTGGACGCAACAATTATTGTTGAGGATATACTTTTCGTGGATCTAAGTTTTTTTTGAGGCGGGTGGGCCAAAGAAATATTCTTGTGTGAAATAGAGTACTACCTCTGAAAATATCGTGTTGTGTAATTTTGTACGAGTGCTTAATAGGCATTATGTGATAGTAATTAAGATGGCGTTAGCTTTAAGATTGTCTTTAATACTGTGTATTCATTCACGGCCTCTACTGCCTTGGTGGGGCTGTTACTTGTGTTCAAGCCGTTCCCAACTTAATTATAATAAACGACAGCTTCCGCTTTAGCGAGTGTGCTCTTCGCCCCCCCCCCTCCCGCCCCCCGCTCTCTCCCTCTCTCTCTCTCTCTCTGTCTCTCTTCCTCTCTCTAGTAGAAGAGCGTGCGTGGTCGCCGATGGCGCCCGGCGTGCAGAGCCTCCTGGTGGGCCTGCTTGTTCAGGATGCGGATTCTACCCTCGAGCTCCGTGACGAGCGGGCTGTGCGTACCGAGGTACGCCTGGAACACGTCCATGTCCACGGGCCCTGTAAGAATACGAGAAAGAAAAAAATGAAAAATAAATACAACTCTTTTGAGAAAAAAAATACAACTTTCGAGAAAAAACTCATTTTGTAACAAATAAAAAAAAACATTTTATTTATTTATTTATTTTTAAAGAAGGAAAAACAGATTTAATTTTTTACCCTTCCTACGGTTTGTCAGCTTGGTCTGGAACGTGATGAAGTTGTCGCCGCCTTCGATGATGAAGGACGGCGCGGCGATGGTGTAGACGTCGTCGTCCCGGATGGGCCGGTACTCGGGGATGGAGCACGCGGCGCACAGCACCTCGGCGCGGACCTGGCCCGGGGGAAAACATCATCGGCTGCTCCCTAACCATGAACTTTCAAATAAAAGAAAAAGAAGAAAAAAGCTTACGACTCGTTGTCTGGCCGGCTTGCCGTAGTCGTACTCCACGCGGAGCCCGCTCCACTGCAGCAGCGTGAGGGTGTCCATCGTGTCCTCGAGGGTGTCCAGCAGGTAGCGGCCCTGGATGTCCACCAGGTCCACAGAGTTCTCGAAGGGCTGCGCGGCCACTAGGTCGCCGTACGTGATGTCTGAAAGCAGACGCTTTGCGGTCACTGAACGCCCCCCGTCCGAGCTGGTCGTCGTGCCCGGCCGAGGGGTGGGCTGCTGTCCCGCAGTTGCCCCTAGTGAGGCTGTCTACCTCCCGCGGGTTCAGAGACAGTCAAAAACACGCGAGATAACTACTTTGCAGCCACCCGGAAAGCACGTCCCGTGTTTGGAAGCTGCCGAGCTCCCACCGAACTGTTGTCAGCCTCAGCCTTCCTCCAAGCTCTCATAGCGCCTGGCAGGTAGGCAACATCTCGCCTGCAGTGCATGCGTGCAGTGCGGGGTGGCCTACCCCGAGTATCACAGGCGCCGAGCCCGGAAAAAAATGGGATTTAAAATATGATCTGTAATTTTGTCATTGTTTTTTTTTGTTTTTGTTCTTTGTTTTCGTTCCTTACTGCCTGGAGCGATGTTGGTGCGCAGCCCGCCCGCGTTGATGAAGGCGATGGAGGCCGCCGTCCAGGTGCCCTCCGGACCCTTCCCGACGTACTGCAAGTTTGGAGATCAGAACAGTGAGTGTGCCTGCGCACGAAACGATCTCTCATACAGCTGGCCAAGTATATTATTAATTTTAATTCTTTCGACAGTCGTGGGCATTTCAAGAATGATGTATAATTTAATATGCGCCGGCGTTTTTCAGTGTAGCGGGCAGTCCGGTGAGCTGTGGGCAGCTGCGTTGCCCGTCGCTGCACCAGGAGCTTCCACTCTGCAGGAGGTCGCCCTTCACGCCCTCTGCTATAGCAGACGCCCCCTCCCCCCTAGAGGGAGGAGGGAGAGGGGGAGGGGGCCTCCGGCAGCCCCGCCACCGCCGCAGTGAAATTGGCGCCTTTTTCTCCTCCCCCCACCCCCGCGAACCCCCCTCATTTCTTTCGCGAGAGCACCGCCGTCGCTGCTTTTTAACGCCCCCTCTTTGTTCCGTCGAGCGCCCCCCCCCCCCCCCCCCCCCCCCCCCCCCCCCCCCCCCCCCGCCCCCCCCCGCGCGGGGGGGGGGGGGGGGGTACGGAGAGGCCGCGGGGGCCGCCCGCGGGGGGGGGGGGGGGGTGAGGGGGGGGGGGGTACGGAGAGGGGCGCTCAAGTGCTTTGTACACATTAAGCACGCGTCCAGACAGTTTCGTTGTGGCTCGCGGAGGCCCTTCAGAGCACCCCCGAAACGTTCCATAAGAGAATGATCTCCGCAAAGTGATTTATTTTCTCCCCTTTTAATTCTTAATGTGGGACTTGGCAAATCTATTCAGCAAATATCGTAGGCCGTGGGTTAACGAGGGCGGGGGGGTGACAAACATAATCGAAGCAGACAGAACAGATGTCGACAGACATGTCCCTCTCGGACGGGTTGACGATGATACGCGCGTGGTGCCGCCGGCGGGGAGGAGGGAGGAGCCTGCCCGACCAGGGGAGAGAGTGAGCACGGCACCCTCCCC